CAAACACACACACACACACACACAGACACACACACACACACACACACACACAGAGCTAACTGCTAACCTAAACAACACGCGCAGCAGACACACGATCGCACGCGCCGCACACACATACCTGCTCTCGCGCGGGCCGGAAGCGCTCCTGCGGCGGATTCTCTCAGATGTGTCTCCGCGGCCGAAGCGCAGCAGCAGCGGCTCGATCTACCTCATAACACCCGCCTCACGCCGCATCGCGTTCGCTGCAGGATCCCTGGTGCACAATAACGGAGCAGGAGTCCGCTCGCGGTCGTTTCACATCGACTCTGGGCGTTTAAAAATAAAAACAAAACGTCAAAAAGCATCAACACATCCGCTGCTCTTCTGCGCTCGGGATGGAAAGATGGAGCTCCGCTGTGCGCATGCGCCCCTGACAGCGACCACAATGCACCGGGGCATGACGGGACACACGGAGGAGTTCAGCCGTGCTCCCTACAGAGGGTGTTTATGAAGTGTGCTCCCTACAGAGGGGGTTTATGAAGTGTGCTCCCCACAGAGGGGGTTTATGAAGTGTGCTCCCCTCAGAGGGGGTTTATGAAGTGTGCTCCCTACAGAGGGTGTTTATGAATTGTGCTCCCCACAGAGGGGGTTTATGAAGTGTGCTCCCCACAGAGGGGGTTTATGAAGCGTGCTCCCCACAGAGGGTGTCCCCACAGAGGGTGTTTATGAAGGGTGCTCCCCGCAGAGGGGGTTTATGAAGCGTGCTCCCCACAGAGGGTGTCCCCACAGAGGGTGTTTATGAAGGGTGCTCCCCGCAGAGGGGGTTTATGAAGCGTGCTCCCCACAGAGGGTGTCCCCACAGAGGGTGTTTATGAAGGGTGCTCCCCGCAGAGGGGGTTTATGAAGCGTGCTCCCCACAGAGGGTGTCCCCACAGAGGGTGTTTATGAAGGGTGCTCCCCGCAGAGGGGGTTTATGAAGCGTGCTCCCCACAGAGGGTGTCCCCACAGAGGGTGTTTATGAAGGGTGCTCCCCGCAGAGGGGGTTTATGAAGCGTGCTCCCCACAGAGGGTGTCCCCACAGAGGGTGTTTATGAAGGGTGCTCCCCGCAGAGGGGGTTTATGAAGCGTGCTCCCCACAGAGGGTGTCCCCACAGAGGGTGTTTATGAAGGGTGCTCCCCGCAGAGGGGGTTTATGAAGCGTGCTCCCCACAGAGGGTGTCCCCACAGAGGGTGTTTATGAAGGGTGCTCCCCGCAGAGGGGGTTTATGAAGCGTGCTCCCCACAGAGGGTGTCCCCACAGAGGGTGTTTATGAAGGGTGCTCCCCGCAGAGGGGGTTTATGAAGCGTGCTCCCCACAGAGGGTGTCCCCACAGAGGGTGTTTATGAAGGGTGCTCCCCGCAGAGGGGGTTTATGAAGCGTGCTCCCCACAGAGGGTGTCCCCACAGAGGGTGTTTATGAAGGGTGCTCCCCGCAGAGGGGGTTTATGAAGCGTGCTCCCCACAGAGGGTGTCCCCACAGAGGGTGTTTATGAAGGGTGCTCCCCGCAGAGGGGGTTTATGAAGCGTGCTCCCCACAGAGGGTGTCCCCACAGAGGGTGTTTATGAAGGGTGCTCCCCGCAGAGGGGGTTTATGAAGCGTGCTCCCCACAGAGGGTGTCCCCACAGAGGGTGTTTATGAAGGGTGCTCCCCGCAGAGGGGGTTTATGAAGCGTGCTCCCCACAGAGGGTGTCCCCACAGAGGGTGTTTATGAAGGGTGCTCCCCGCAGAGGGGGTTTATGAAGCGTGCTCCCCACAGAGGGTGTCCCCACAGAGGGTGTTTATGAAGGGTGCTCCCCGCAGAGGGGGTTTATGAAGCGTGCTCCCCACAGAGGGTGTCCCCACAGAGGGTGTTTATGAAGGGTGCTCCCCGCAGAGGGGGTTTATGAAGCGTGCTCCCCACAGAGGGTGTCCCCACAGAGGGTGTTTATGAAGGGTGCTCCCCGCAGAGGGGGTTTATGAAGCGTGCTCCCCACAGAGGGTGTCCCCACAGAGGGTGTTTATGAAGGGTGCTCCCCGCAGAGGGGGTTTATGAAGCGTGCTCCCCACAGAGGGTGTCCCCACAGAGGGTGTTTATGAAGGGTGCTCCCCGCAGAGGGGGTTTATGAAGCGTGCTCCCCACAGAGGGTGTCCCCACAGAGGGTGTTTATGAAGGGTGCTCCCCGCAGAGGGGGTTTATGAAGCGTGCTCCCCACAGAGGGTGTCCCCACAGAGGGTGTTTATGAAGGGTGCTCCCCGCAGAGGGGGTTTATGAAGCGTGCTCCCCACAGAGGGTGTCCCCACAGAGGGTGTTTATGAAGGGTGCTCCCCGCAGAGGGGGTTTATGAAGCGTGCTCCCCACAGAGGGTGTCCCCACAGAGGGTGTTTATGAAGGGTGCTCCCCGCAGAGGGGGTTTATGAAGCGTGCTCCCCACAGAGGGTGTCCCCACAGAGGGTGTTTATGAAGGGTGCTCCCCGCAGAGGGGGTTTATGAAGCGTGCTCCCCACAGAGGGTGTCCCCACAGAGGGTGTTTATGAAGGGTGCTCCCCGCAGAGGGGGTTTATGAAGCGTGCTCCCCACAGAGGGTGTCCCCACAGAGGGTGTTTATGAAGGGTGCTCCCCGCAGAGGGGGTTTATGAAGCGTGCTCCCCACAGAGGGTGTCCCCACAGAGGGTGTTTATGAAGGGTGCTCCCCGCAGAGGGGGTTTATGAAGCGTGCTCCCCACAGAGGGTGTCCCCACAGAGGGTGTTTATGAAGGGTGCTCCCCGCAGAGGGGGTTTATGAAGCGTGCTCCCCACAGAGGGTGTCCCCACAGAGGGTGTTTATGAAGGGTGCTCCCCGCAGAGGGGGTTTATGAAGCGTGCTCCCCACAGAGGGTGTCCCCACAGAGGGTGTTTATGAAGGGTGCTCCCCGCAGAGGGGGTTTATGAAGCGTGCTCCCCACAGAGGGTGTCCCCACAGAGGGTGTTTATGAAGGGTGCTCCCCGCAGAGGGGGTTTATGAAGCGTGCTCCCCACAGAGGGTGTCCCCACAGAGGGTGTTTATGAAGGGTGCTCCCCGCAGAGGGGGTTTATGAAGCGTGCTCCCCACAGAGGGTGTCCCCACAGAGGGTGTTTATGAAGGGTGCTCCCCGCAGAGGGGGTTTATGAAGCGTGCTCCCCACAGAGGGTGTCCCCACAGAGGGTGTTTATGAAGGGTGCTCCCCGCAGAGGGGGTTTATGAAGCGTGCTCCCCACAGAGGGGGTTTATGAAGTGTGCTCCCCTCAGAGGGGGTTTATGAAGTGTGCTCCCTACAGAGGGTGTTTATGAAGTGTGCTCCCCCCAGAGGGGGTTTATGAAGTGTGCTCCCCACAGAGGGTGTTTATGAAGTGTTTCATGAGAACGAGATTCACACGAGCAGAAAACAGCAGAAAAGACCAAACGCTGCACAAGAAAATGAGGTTTATTTGAAAACGTCGCTAAATATAAAGAACTTCATGCTCAGCTGCGTGTACTTTTCATTTGAGTTCCGTTCATGATCAAATATGTACAGAACATGGTAAATACATGAATAGCCAGTGATAGCATCTGATGACTGCAGGGATAACAACAAATGATCTCAGCTTCTGAATGGGCGATTGTAACAGTTCAAGACTAACAGGCCTCGTTTAAATGAGCTAAACTAGCAATGCTGAACAAACGCATGTGCTCGCTCACTTCTGTCTTTAAAACACAAAACATCAGGGGGAACTGTCAAGAAGTTTAATATAGTAATATGTTTTAAATAATAAGTTCGAAATAAAAACACTCTCTGATCTCATGCTAAGAAAAGAAAGTAGCGGCGGGGTTTATTCGTTTGTTCCTTCAGTCGTTCTTTGTTGAACTCCTGAGAAGATCCCGGGGGCGTGGCTAGATCCAGATCCAACTCCTCCCACTTTACATACCCTAAACCTACCATCTGCACCCCCTGGATGTGCATCCAGCCCCGCCCCCTGGACCTTTGTTCTGCAGTGAGGGGCTTCTGGAAATCCTCGTTATTAATGAGGAAGGAGCGTGCACCGGCTGCTGTGGCTTCATCTGGGCCCCGTGCCTCTGCTTCTGGAGACTGGGTTCGAGGCGTCCAGCGCAAGCGAAGGAAAGGACTGCTGAATGATGCTCCTCCAGTCTCTCTCTGGTTTTTATTTAAAACACTGTCACGTCTGCAAAACACACAGAGATTATTCTATGACCAGTCTGTACTGGCTGCAGATCCCATTTTCATTTTTAAGGTTTCCTTTTTAAAACACGGAAAGGTTTTTTAAAGACATCAGTTATATTTAATTCTCTGTGCTGGTTTTGTTTGTTTCTGAGTCATTCACACAGTTCCTGACACATCGTTATTTTGCTAATAAATGTATGTATGTATTTGTGCATGTATTGTGTGTCTGACAGGGGTTTATTTAGTATTTCAGCATTTTTCTCAGTTTTCTAATTAGCTATCACAATTATAAATGAATGATCACTAGTTAGTTTGGTCACGTACATGTCTCTGTTTGTATGTGATGCTATGTTTTGCCTGCAAGGTAATTTTATGGAAGCATGTTTTATGTTTGTTTAAATGCTAGTATTTCCAGTATATTTGTGTGCGAAGCAGCTCATTCATGGTTCAAGCATATATTTTTCTTTATGCTGCTTCTAGCACTCTGTCTGCGTCCATCTTGTGGCACATTTTTTCGACTTGCACTCTACAGCTGGTCCAGTGCACTTATATTATTTAAAATGTATTCTATAGGTTGGTGCTTGTTGTTTAGCAAACTGTAAATGTCTTGAATACCTTCATAATCTTTTTTAATTCAAATGAATGGATCAGCTACAGATATGGTACTGTGTATTCTGTATTTACTGTAAATAATATGTTAACAGAATAAAACCATATTAAGGATAACTTTTAGACATTTGTTGTTTCAGATTATGTAATGGATAATTGTTTGGGTACAACGTACAGCTGTTGTGAACTAAATGAGCACAACACTTATTTATATCAATTACAGTTAATGAAGAGTAATGTGTAATTATTGTTTACTGTAAGGTTCATGACTGATGCTCAGTTTATGAATGAACAGGCCTAGTGTTCAGACCGTCGGTTAGATGTTCAGTCCTGCAGAAGAAGCTGAAATGGACAACGTGTTACTCGAGCAGCATTCATAAAGTGTCTTCATTTAAAGCAGCCGTTCACGCGATCGAAGCGGAGCCAACGCAGAGTTAGAAATGAGGAACTTCTGTACAGCGCATGTTCTCAAAAATATCAGCCAGACTCACCAGCATACTAAACCAGTCAATAATGTTTGATTATTATTAATAATGTCACTGGTTTAGATGTGAACGGTAGGCTATAAAATGCAGATTTTGCAGAACTTTATTTTCTGGTGTCATCCTTTGTGCGCATGCGCTCTGCATCCCTCATCTCGGTGACGTCACGCAGCTTCATTCTGTCGTGATGTTGTTCGGCTCCGCGGATGAGCGCAGATCAGCGTGATTACAGCGACGAGAAAGCGACTAAATCAACGGAATCCGAGATCTGTGACAACAACATTTACTATGGAGTTAAAGAAAGCCATTTCTGAAAGCGAAGCGACGATGAAAACATACGGCGCGCTGCAGGAGACAAACCGGAGCAGAGACAAAGGTGACAGTCACTTATCAGATATCATATCAGTCTCATGATCGGATATGCTTTCACTGTTACCATCAGATGTGATTTCAGTTATCATCAGGCATGATATTACAGTTGCTGTCATGCGATATAAGTCTTATTATCAGATATGATTTCATGTTATTCATTTTCAACGACTCTGATGCTCTGTCCTCTTTTTGAGGGTCATTGATGTGTTTGTTTAAGTGACCCTTTCATTTAAAAACATGCAATGTGTTTCTTCAGCTCTTTTCACACGTTTACGGCTTTATTTAATTTGTTCACTGACCATGTCCAGCTGTGGACAGAATATGATTTTTTTTATGATACAACATGGGCCATTTTATTACATTAATGTTGTGTTGTTTTTAATAGCATCCTGTGGTGAAAATGACATGTTAAATGGAGTCTTAAATATAGAAACAGCTCCTTATCTCAGTAATTCTTCTGGCCATCAAATAATATTTCTATTCTTTTATTACTAGTTTTAGTAATGATTAAGTCAAGTTTGTGCTGTCTGTCTTGGATAGTAAGCCAAATCGGTTTACGTTTATTACACCCAATAATTACACGAGCAGGTGAACTTGTGAGACATTATTTTACTAAAGTATCCGGCTCCTCTGTTGTGCTGAAGCTGATTTTGCAGCTAGCGCTTCACGTGTTTCTTCAAACATCCCATGTCTTGCATTTCATCTCAAGCACTGCAGTAACTGTTGTTGTCTTGGTAAAAAGTACACGCACTTTTTAAAAACTTTTAAACTTTTAGTGGCATAAATGGCAAAATAGTTCTTTATGCTGGTATTAAATCAACCATTTTTTGGGTGAAAAAACATTTCCAACACCTGGTTATTTTAGACAATTTAGAAATCCTGTGCCAAACGTGTCGCCAGAAGTGGCCCGTCTGGTCAGCGTACTCCAGATCCACTTTCCTGCAGAGTTTAGTTCCAACCCTGATCAAACTCACCTGACTTCAGCTTTCTACACTCTAAAAAATGCTGGGTTGTTTCAACCCAATTTTGGGTCAAATATGGACTAACCCAACTGTTGGGTTAAATTTTGGTTACATTTTTAAATTAACTTTTTAACCCAACAGTTGGGTTAGTCCATATTTGACCCAAAATTGGGTTGAAACAACCCAGCATTTTTTAGAGTGTAGTAATCAGGAAGATCTTGAAAGTGTCCAAGATCATTTTAATGTGACTGAAAGTCCAAACAATCAGGGAACAAGTAACAGAGCCACAGATGCTGCATAAACAGAAGAGTCCAGGAGAGTGAAGGAGTAAAGGAGCACAAAAGAGGCCCGTGAGCTGGAGACCAAGACAGACCTATGAGGTCTCTGGACCAGACTCTAACTCTAACTGTCTAACAACTGACCAAGAAACATATTAATACAGACAGACTAACGAGATAACACGTTACAGGGAACACAATACAGGGTAACCAAATCACTAATAAAAGTATGAAGGACTACAAATCCCAACACAGCAAACAGCAAACAAGAACTATAACATAAAAGTCCAAACAAACAGAGAACACGTAATAGTGACCTTTATATAACAAAAAAAGAAAATCAGCCTCTGAGACACAAAAGTGCCCGAAGTTGAAGAAACACCTGCTTTGTGTCTGATTTCAGCTTTTCATCATAACGCTTTTATTTTTTTTACAGAACTATTTAACACAATCATTTTATTTCCACTTACCCTTACATTGACACAACTGATGTTATCAAGCAAACAGTAACAATATTATTTTTACAGCATCGAGGCATACTCTCAGGATATATTACATTTTCCAGTTTTGTTCCACCTCAATATTATTTTTTAACAACATTTGTACATGGATTCATACAGCTGTGACTCTGTTGAGCGCACAAAGACAAAGACAGACACATGTTTTTGTGTTACTGAATGTATTACTGAATTTTAGAATATCATATCGCTGTCTGAATGAAAGTGATTGACTGTTTAGAATTCCTAACCCTCTGTCAATGACATCTGACCTGTTTAAGGTGATAGCGGGTCAGAATAGAATGTTCCCTGCGTTCCATTCGGAAGGGCTCATCCCTATACCCTAATCCCTTCAAAGGGTTTACCCTCCGGAGTGAGAGCTTCGAAGGGCTGAAGGGTGTAGGGGACCAAACTACTCATCACGTGCCCACATGGAGGCGCTGTCATCATGCAAAGAATCTGCGCAAAGGATCATGGGAGCCCGAAGTGTCCATCAGTTGTACCCTTCGAAATCTTTCATTCCGAAGGGCCCTTTGAAGTGGCCAGTTTTGAGCACTTCAGTTTGGAACGACCCTTCAATATGGCGGCCATGATTGTTTTCACTCCGAAGTGCTCTTCGGAGGGCGATATATCCCGTCTGGAATGCACCGATAGTGTTTCACAAACAGCTTTATAATAGCCACAAGAAAGATTAACTGAATAACTAAATATCTTCACCTGTGGGAACCTGAGCAGAACTGACTTCGTAAATTAAAAATCACCAAAACAAAGATTCAAACACACCGAGACTCCATGAAGACACACACACACTCTCTCTCTCACACACACACACACACACACACACTCTC